GTCTCCTTGTTTGTTTTTATTTTATCAATAAAGTGTTTTCTTTGTCTCTCTTACAGAAGAAGGTGCACCTGGACCAGTCTTATGTTTGCCTGTGTCTCTTTCCTGTCCCCCAACCCAGCCGGTCGAGGCAGATGGCCGCCTGTCCTGAGCCTGGTTCTGCTGGAGGTTTCTTCCTATTAAGGGGGAGTTTTTCCTCTCCACTGCTGCCGGTGTGCTGCTCAGGATGGGAGACTGTGATGAAGCGAAGATTCAGCGCAGTCTGCTGGCTTCTTTAGATTGTTTTTTGTGTACAGTGCCCTGAGACAACAATTGTTGTGATTTGGCACTATATAAGTAAACTGATTTGAATTGAATTGAATTAACTCAGAAACTCTCTCAACTAATTTCCCTCTGGGATCAATAAAGTATTTTTGAACTGAATTGAAAGTATTTACCAATTAGGATGTCCGCCACAGCTAATCAACACACTCAGCTTTGGTGCCCACTAGCTTGGAATGCACTGCAGATTGATCTGAAATGACTTGGTTTAATTTATTTTAGAGCCTTTTGTTCAATCCTGAACGATGATGTTTGTAATCCAGATACCAGTTTTACTCAAGCAAAGTACAAGTACTTCAGTTTGGGTACTCACAGATAAAGAGTACCTGTAAGAAAAATGCGATCAGAATTGGAAGTCAGAATAAGTTTGCAGAAAACAAATTAATTATCTTCTAAAAATCTCTATTCAAAACTCTGAACTCCAATCCAGCTCCAGTCTGTCTGCCAGGCAGGGCCTGTGAGTTTGAAGCCTTGGGTATTACCAGAAGAGCAAAGCAATAACAAACCCACTCAGCAGCCCAGCATCTGTTCCAGGCTGAACTAAAAAGAATAATAAATGATAGATAGCCTACAGCCCTTCTGACTTGTTGCAAATTTTTAAAATAAATTAACTTAATTTGTAAACTTTTCTTAAACATGGAAATTGACAAATTTTCTCTTGAAATGTAAACTGTAACACACACACACACACACACACACACACACACACACACACACACACACACACACACACACACACACACA